GCGAACACGAACACACTCAGGTCATCTTGTGTCGGTGGAGCAGGGAACAGCCACGGGGGTTCTTGTGGACGGCCAGGCGCTGACTGCGGTTGTTGACGCCAGCTCTGAATCCACAGCTGTTGCCGACGGGGCAGCGTAACACAGTCAACGTCAATACATACAACAGATGCACCTCAGTTCACGTCTGAATGCACAATTATCATCAATTGTCTCCAAATATATAACTCTAAAACACAGTCGATGTCAATGACGTCGATACACATCCAATGCACAACGGATGTCTTTCAGTTCACGTACAACTATCATTAGTGATTGTCTGCAAATGTAAGTACACGAAAACATAGTTCATTCTGTGCCTGAACACAAAATCCTCCACTCACGTCCTCCTGCCCTCCCTCGCATGACTACTCTTCGTATCAGTCTTCACATAATCACTCCCATCCTCCGGCACGTCCTTTTTAACATTCAGATACGCCTCTCCAAGTATCTGCGGCGCCACCGCCCTCAACTGCACCTTTTCACGTGAAATAGCAGGATCAGAGAGGAGGCGGTCGCACGTCTCTCGAAGGATGGATTCCACTTCTAGTTTCGTTCCCTGGCGAGTGTTAGTTAGGAAAGAAAAAAAAGAAAAATAGGTGGGAATACCTTGAACAACGTCTGTAATCCCTTCTCTGCCGCCTGTTCCTCCAACCCCTTCTTCTCCTCTGGACTTAAGTTCCCCCTGCCTTTTCGGCTGCTTGGATTTGGTAGAATACCGATTTGAGCTCAATCGCTGCTCGGAGGGTTGATACTTTGTCAAAAGACATTCAGAAAAAAAACAGAACAGAAAGAGAATCCACAGTGTACGTAAGTCTCGCTAAAAACATGATATTTCCCCTGAACGTTATGCAACCAATCACCAACGCCAAACAACGTCTGCTTCGTTGCGAGGTGGTGTTTGGCCTTCGAGACGTAGACGAAGCCGATGCAGTGGAGCAATTCGGCGCCGTAGGATTCGTGTGAGAGGTCAGCTGCTTCGGGCGAACAGATAGTTCGCCAGCTTGTGGATAGGTCGGAGGAGGGAGGGGTTACGTCTAATGGAATTGTAGCTGATTCGGTGAATATACCGAGTTTGCGTTCGAGGTTTTCGACGAGTTTGGATACCCTTTCCGCACGGGTAGCTGCTTTCTAAAAGCGTGGTTGAATAAGGAATGAAAGGAAGAAAACGAAATGATAGAAAGAAGACGTAACGATAGAAAGAAAACAAAATGGAGAAAAGCAAACGAAATGATAGAAAGAAAACAAAATGAGAGGAAGAAAACAAAATGAGAGAAGGAAAACAAAATGATAGAAAGAAAACAAAATGATAGAAAGAAAAATGAACGAACCTCTGCAGCCTTCTGCCTATACTTTTCCACTTTCACGCGATCCTTCTCCTCCCTCCTCGCACGTTCCTCCAGACTAATCACCTCCCTTCCCTTTGCATCCAGCACCTTTGATTTTTCACTAGGTTCATCACTAGCCTCTTCAGCCTCCTGCAATGCGCTCTTCATACGCTGATCTGACCAATAATCGGCACCAAAAATGGCGCCAAAGACTTCTTCGGGATCGACATAGCCACCCTCCGGAGTGCTCTCCTTTGGACCGAACTCGTTGTATTTCTTGCGAAGGGTGGGGTCTGAGAGGGTTTGGTAGGTGATTGCGATGGACTTGAAGCGGTCTTCTGCTAAGGGGTCGTCGGGGTGTTTGTCTGAGTGATGTTTGATTGCTAGGCCGCCTGTGATGTTGTTGGTGAGAAAGTAAAGTAAAAATGAAATAAAAACGAACGATAAGCTTTCTTAATACTTATCGTCCATCGATGCCGTCACAGGACACCCAAAATATCATAATAGCCCGTCTCAAGTGCGTCCCAATCTTCCTGTCCTTTCTCTGCTGCTCCTGTTGTTGTTCTCCACCACCCAAACCTGGGCTAGACCTCGAAGATGTCACAGACGACGAAAGCACCTGAGTTGGATAAAAAGCATGTGAGATGATCGTTGACATTGAAAACATCGGATCTGAAGTAAAGTTCCTGGGCGTGGGTATGGAGATGGTACTGGGAACTCTGAGGGGGTCATACAGCGTGGGTTTGAGCAGGTTGTGCCGATGTGGGGGATGATAGGTCGTGAGGGGAGGTCGGGGTAGGTCGAGTTCATGGTCAAGGGGTATTGTCACGTGGTTACCCTGCCTCCTTTCTTCTAGAAGGCCTCTGCACGCACTGGTGGTTCTACTTCACCTCCCTAGTCGACTCCAGCCTCCTCGAAATCAGGAAGTATATCACTTTTGATGCATCGTGGAGTTACACCTTCAGTGGCAGCGCATTGTTTGACAATTTTCAAGACGATCTTTTTCATCCCCTCGTCAGATGTTTGGAAATCACGAATGAGAATAACCGTGAAGAATCGTATTCGGGGTCCGTAAGGGGTATAGTGAAACCAATAACCTTCAAGAAAGGTGCAAAGACCTTTGCCAGGCGTAGACGGATGCCCAACCAGACAGGTTTCAAGACGGTGTCAAAGGATTCGATACCGTGAGGGGCAGCAGCTTCCGCCAAAGCGGCTAACCCAAGAGCTGTCATAGTTCTGACTTTTTGCTCGCAACGCAGTCTACCAATTTCCGAAGATGGTGTAACACCGCATCATAATCGCAATTTGTTGAACAATTCGAATACCAGTGTGCCTAGCTTGCCATGACTTTTTAGATCGGCAGACAGCTTTGAGGAAAGGAAGGAGGGATGGAATGCCCAAGGCGGAAGCGACAACGGAGAATGCGCGAGCAGTCGTGTTGCATACGTACTCGTCGGTGTGATCAATATCGGGACGTATCGTCGATATCATATGTGCAAGCCTTGGAAAGGTTGGAAATGATCTCGGAGGGAAGCCGACGGCGCAGCATGGAACGGGGTGAGTGTTTTGGTCAAGGCATAGTGTTGAAGTGTTCCGAAACATGTTTGATATAAATTCCAACATACTCTGTAGATTCAATCGTAAATCGCGACTGGAAAAGAAAGATAGCACGGACTTTCAAGCTATATTTCACAGCATCTGCTCCAGCGTCGTGTCGGGCTTGAGTATTGTATGGTTAAGGCTTGATGCTCCGACAATCAATACTACATCGAAGAATAAATTCTGTTGTAAAATACAGTAAGTCACCTATTGCCGTGTCAATACTTCAAGAATACTTACTGTTCGTTCCCTGGTAGATGTCCTTTGTTCTTGCATGCGTTGGACGCATGTATATGAATCATTACAGCCCTCATGTAGACGTTTGCTTTTGTCTTTTGAAGTCTTCTAAGAGGGTGACTGTGAATATATGAAAGTATGTCAGCGTCACAATACTCTACGAAGTCAGACTAATGTACCGTCATTGTTTAGCATGTTCTGGCCCCGTTTACGCCCCCACAATCGCTAAACATCGCCGTTGCCCATTCCCAGCCTCCAGACGACGTATCTCCATCCACAAAACCGGCGCGTACAGCCAGAATGCCTCATGCAAAGCGCTGAGTGCTTGGAAACAACCACGGCCATCAATATCGCGCGTGATATCCAATGCAACGTAAGTACTCACCACGAGCCTATCCCAGCTCGTAAACGCAAAATGCCAGCTGTCCGTAGTGTATCTGCTTGTTGCCCACAATCCTGCGCCCTTACATTGGGTAAAACTGCGGATCTCCTTGCTGGGCGCTCCATTTTGAATGTTGAATGTTGAGCTTTGGTTGCCGTTAGGTACTTAGTGGTCGCAACATTGTGAATAGAATGCAACATTGTGAATAGAATGCAACATTGTCGTTGTATGCTGCGACTAGGTCGTAGATGGAAGCAAGTGCCGAGGTAACAGCGTCACCGTCCAGCGTCAACTTGAAGGACATTCAACATTGGAGCAAAATGTAGCCTTATTAAGCAGGTGTTAGATCCGAAAATATTGCTATATTGGGAAGTTTCTTCACCTTGTGTTCACATATCTTCCACATATCCTCTGTGCAGATATGGATTGCCTTTAGTAGAAATATCTTCTCAAAATACCTTCGACGTTTATCCACCCACGTAATTCTCAATAATTCCGATGGAAAAAATTTGAAAAAATTTGATAAAAGATTTTAAATATCTTTCAACTAATTCCGGTAGTTAAAAGGTAGCATTATTATTAATATCTACCTCATTTTTCCACGTTATACCCAATGGATATATAAGCCAGGGCCCGCAGTGAGAAAGGGTTCCGGAACGACGGAGGGGAACCGAAATAGAACAACGCGCCAAACGTCCGCTCAAAACAACAACGACGCCCAAGAACGACGACGTCCGACGAGGAAAACGGAAGGCAGCTCTCACAACAGCAGCAAGGGTGCGTACCACAGATGAATACGGAAACTTACAGAATGGTTTTCAGAGTACTAGATGCCAATGCGACGGAGGTCGCGAATGCAGCCGAGCAACCCGCACCAGGGTCAATAGCTGCTGAGATCTGAGCCATGGGGACAGCGCGCTCTCGACAAGGGAAAGTTAAACACAGAAGCAAATGCAGGCAGCAGGAGAACTGCCAACACTTGCCTATGGAAACAGTCTTCCGCCAGCTTCATTTTCGTAAGCTGATGGTCGATTTGTAAGCAGTGACCCCAGAAACCCCGAGCTTCTAAATCAATACAACCAAATTTTGGACCCTTACATGCGAAATACACCCTCTGGCAGGCGGCATTGTGAAGCAGGTTGTTTTGTTCGTTTATTACAAGTACTGTGTCATGGGGTATGCACAATACTAGATCTGTAAAAAGTGAATTTTCTATGATCGATCAAGTGAAGTTGGGCACGCGCTGACACTGTCCCGCAGGCTCACAGACTCGGAAATGCCTCTAGAAGAAGAGCGAGTGAAACTCAGGCTAGGAGAGAAGGTCATAGAGCTCGATGATCTCTTGTATCAAGGCGCACCTTGAGTGCATGGCTAACCTAACAAACGTTGTTGAAGCCAAAATTCGAGCCCCGCCCTGCCACCAACTCCCCAGCCTGGTATTAGTGATGAAGATGTAGGCACAATTTTGACTGCCCATGTGGAAAACTGTCCTGGATGGTCAAGATCTAAATCCCTCACCAATTTCTTCGATACTAGCGGCCATAGGTAAATGACAGATCACAGGTCCCTCGAGTCGAATTATAATTATTGATAGTCTTCCGCCAGCTTCATTTTCATAAGCNT